TTCATAATTTCATCCATACAACATCTGTATCAACACAGTAAGTGTTACTACTATTCATTTTTAACTAGTAAAATTAAAACTTGATAAAGTTAGATGAATTTCTATGCCTGAAATCTAGGGCTTCATGGAAGATCTTGAAAATATTAAAAATCTAGGTCTTTATAGAAAAAAACCTCATGTATCTTGAATAGCCAGTGTAGGCTCTGGTAGTATAACAGATTACCACCTTTCAGTGATACAGAGAATAAGCAAATCTTTTTAATGGTGCCTGGTCATGCATTTTCTGCAGTCTGAGATGCAATGCTTTTGAAATTGTCAGGTCAAATGCAAAGACATACAGATCTCTTCTGAAGGTTAGACTTTGGAAATGTTAGGTCTACTACTGGGTTAAATTTTTGCCATACAAATACTCTGTGGATTTAGCACTGTGAATGTGTCTCACCTTTACCAAACTCTTTGTGTGTGATAAAAATCATATCGAAAATCTTTGAAATTTTTGAAATAATGTTTTTATATTTATTCAAAATTACAATTCCCTCCAAAACTGTGTTTCAGTTTAGCTTGTTAGAAATTTGGTCCATTTACATCTTTTCAGATACTTAGGACAGATGTTTCAAATATTTTTATTTGATGCAAATTTAGAGATACCTTCTCTATTAGCAGTAATGAACTACAAACCTCTTACATATATAGTTACATTTCATTAGTATTGAATTTTCAAACCATTTATACACAGTGGGAATGAGGCTCTAAGTCAAATCCAGTACTAATACTTTGTCATTTGTGGTTAGCATTGTCTTTAGTAATTTGATTGGACAAATATTATGGAAGCACTCTCTAAAATAATCACTTTGCATTTTAAAAGAAATCAATTGTGTACTAGTCACTCATCAAGTAAATAGATACTTTTAATGAAACTAAAAATATTCACTGTATTCTACCCTATGATGGAATATTTTTGCAAGTGATGGGATCATTATGGAAATTGGTGATCAATCAGCAATCATATGCAGTATCCCTAGCAAAATTAATTTTTGGAAGTTCCAGACACAGTTCTATAGTATAAGAAGGGGGAGGTGGAATAAAATTAGCATACTTGTTCTAGTGACCTCCTGTTTTTTAAATTTATTGGAAAAAATTTGGTACCACTTTTATGCTGCTGTTCAACCACCAGTATATCAAGATCTCCACAGTTCTCTATTTTTGCTATTTTATATGCTCACCTTACCTCTGAGTGGGGAAAAAAACAAAACAAACCAAAAAATGAAAACAAACCAAACCCCACTTTTCTCTCATTTGTGGATTAACGTATCAGTAGTTTAAAGAATTTAAAATAACTGTATCAAAATAGGGAAGTAGACATTGAAAAATGAGAAGAATTCTGAAAGGTTTCTAAATTGCTGTAAATTCTTAAGAGAACTTCATTGTTTGCAGGAAGTTGAAAGTAGTCTGAAGCTTTTTTTATTCTTCAGTCATTTTTATCATGCATACTGTACGTGATGGTGCTGGGAAAAAAATCTGAAGTTAGTTCCTCTGATCATCCTACCTCTAGGGTTTCTTATAAATCAGAAACCCTCCTGTAACTCTGAAAAAGACATATAAAGGATTTAGATAGTCTACTTCCTCTTGTGTTTGAAAGTAACCTTGAAGAATTTGTAGCATTATCTCTGCCAGAAATAACGAACACTTTTGTTGTCATTGATAGTACTTGATTGACAAGGTATTGGCAATCTGTATACAATAAATGTGATGGAGCTTTCTTCCAAGTAAGAGAGCAGAATGACTAAGCACATATCTATCCATTTCTTTTATCTAAAAACTACATCATGATTGAAAACTGGTTTCTTCAATGTGTTCATGAATTGACTTCAATGGTAAAAGTTCATTACTGCTTTTTTAGTGGAATACACTACCAATTCTTCAGGTCCATATGGACATACTAGAGCAGAGAAATTAATTTTTCATGAATGTACATTTTCCAACCCTGAACAAGCATACATTTATAATCACACTGTCCTCATATTAACTTTATACCTTTGCGCTAAACTGATGTTAAGCAATGAGGAAGAAAGAAGAAATCAGTATGCCAGTATCCCTGACAGTTGGTAGAATTCCACACATATTTGGAAAACTCCAGAAATTCTAACTGTATTGTATCTTCCAGACAAATTGTTTGACTCCTTGTGTTTCAAGTGGCTTGTTTTTTTTCATGAACATAATTCCACATAGCAATTAGTCACATTACTTTTGGATGTTACCTTTCTTTGCTAAAAAAGTTTGCTATTCATGAACATGACCTGTTCTGGTATACCACTAAAAACATTCTTCAGTAAAAGTAGATTTGACATTGCACCTCATTCTCTTTCTACACAGAAGAACAGCAGCATGACATGCTGTACACTTTGAATGAGGACACAAAGTAAATGAATCCTATAAGGCATATTTGATTTAAAACAGTTCAATAATTGTTCATTTCTTATGTAAAGTAAGGACAAAGAATGTAAAATAACAGCAAAGCTTTCAACGGAAAGCTAGAAAAAGACAATGAAGTAATTAAAATTCCCATTTATTCAACTAACCTTGTTTCCCAGAATGGCTTTGTTAATGACAAGAAAGTAAGTGAAATGGGATCGATAACTCATCTCCTCTTTGTAGTTATTATTACCTAGTAGTAGTTTTCTCTATTAATCTTTTACATCTCTTTGGTCTTTATTCTGCATGTCAAAGTCCGCTCACTTTGCAAATGATATGCTTCATATACTCCAAAATACACTTCACTGAAATAAGTATTGCTGATTTCAACTGAAATGTGTTCTAGCTTAAAGCTTTCATCCTAGGAGATAAAGAAGTTTGAGAGAGAGGTTAGAGAAAAAGGTCACAGTAGATTACTCATGGCATCTTACAGCCTTTACAGAGCAGTATATTATCAAGTGAAATCATGCAGACTCATGGGTTGTTTTAGTTTTGGAAGAAGAAGGATTCAGAGCAGTTTACTGTCTCAGCATCTTTCACAGATGATATCCACTTATTCTTGGGTATCTTAAAAGGCGACTTCACAAATTAAAGTTGGTATTGCTGTAACTTCTCCACTTATTTCTTCTCTGTTCCTGAGCAAAAAGGAATGTTTTTTAAAAGGCAGAGGTTTCCTGCACTTTGCCTATCGTCAACTGTCATTTCAATAGAGAATACATACCTGTATGTTTCTGTGTGACTTCTGTATAAGAGAGGAGAAGTACACATTTGCCTATAAAGGCTGAGGATACAGTATGGTTTCTCCGATGGAATTCAGGACTTCAGAGTCTTGATCTACTGTTCTGCACATTGCAAATCATCTTTCCATGAAATAAGTGCTACTTAAAAATTTTAAGATATAAAATGGATCAGAATTGGGAAGTGCTCACCAAAGAGGCTCATGTTTTAACCTAAATGATTCTCTTTCTGTTAAAAATTAAGTTTTTATCATGCAGTATGAGCTAATTAAATTTGTTGTGATGTGTATGTGTTTATGTACACACATGCATATGAGTATACAGTGCACTGCAGAATGTGCCTTGACAACCACTGTGCTCTTTTAAACAATAAAGAGCCTAAAATTTCTGATACTGAACGAAATATTCTGTTATCATATTGTTACTCCTCAGTGGCAACCAGCATGGAGTAGGAAGTACTGTGTTTCAAGGCAAAGTCAACATTTTTTCTTGAACAATCGCTGTAAGTTAACAACATAAGGCAGTGATTCCATGTGAAAGCACCCCTATGTATAGCTATACATGTGCATGTAACTAAATCTGTAGGGTAGGTTGTTGATAGGCATAATTAACAGCAATCCTTCATAAATTATTTACAAGTCCTTCTCACAAGCAGCAGCATGACAGAAGGGTTACCTGTGTGTTATCCAGCTACACAGCAGAAAGGGAGCTAGTTTAAAGTGTTTGTCTAGTATCTCACTGTGTAGCAGCTCTCCAAACACAGCTCCCAGTGAGTGGCTCTCTGTGCAGTATGAGCGCAGTCACTCAGAGGCATGGTGCAATCTTGTGTGATTTTCAGACCAAATTAAATCAGCTCTTGAAGAGTTTTGAAGTTACAGAGCCAGAGCAGGAAATGGCTGCTGTCCGAATCAGAGTTGTGTGACCTGATGCTTCTTGGGTCTCAGGTTATAAACTGATTGAAATGTTCCTCCTCCACTGTATAGTATACCATTCTGCTTAGTTGCTTTCGTGCCTTCTTTGTGCTACTTTGGGGAGGCACCTGGAGTTGCCTTACTCTGCTGTATGTTTGGGTTGTATATCAGCTGTACCACACAAAAGCTAAAGACATGAACAAGAGCCAAAGGAGCAACTGTGGCAAAATACAGGAAGGCTGAAAGCATTCACAGCTGGATAGGTGATTTGCACATTCCTATATCCAAAATGCAAGCTGCCCTTTGGCAAAACCCAAGCTTGTGCTTATCTAAGATTTAAGGCTTAAAATAGGTACCTTTCCTCTGTGTCCGTGAGGAAGATTAGGTCTCTCATCCATGCAAGAGCACTTCAGCTAAATTTAACTCTGGCTGTTGGAACGACTTACTCATAGGATTATGGCACAGCTGTGGAAACTACTGCTGTTGTTTTGGATGAGGATTTATGAGACAACTTTGGGGGGGTGGAGGGGAAATATATTTTTTAATACATACATACTAGGCTGGATGATGCCAGATCTGAAAGCAGGAGATACACAGCTGAATAGTGTCAGGGAGCAAGTTGTACAATAGCACAGGTCAAAGCCTGTGCTTTGGAGGCAAATGTTCTCCTCGCCTCATTAACTACATATGTGCTTAGAAACACAACAGACAAGCAAATAGCAAGTTTTACATCTTGCCTTTTTTAAAAACTAATGTAATTGCAATAAATTTCCAAGCAGTTATGTTCTTGTATGTGAAAGCTGTGTGGCATTGCTTACGTTTGCTGGTGCATTTTGGTGATACATTTATTTCAAGGTGTCTGTCTGTATTTTATTTCCAGGTTCAAGTCCTTCGCAACGCAGGGGAAGAAGTGACCCTAACTGTGTCCTTTCTGAAAAGAGCACCTGCTTTTCTCAAACTGCCACTGAATGAAGATTGTGCATGTAAGCATTTATTACTTGGCCAAAATAAAACTCATTCCAGTGCTCATGAGCACTTGCAGCTTCCGAAACTACTATGCATTGAGGTTGATTGACAGCAGTTTTTATAATCAGCATTGCTGCCTGAATACGAGCTGCTCCTATTGTCAGGGCTTGTGTTAACATTCACCTCAAGCAAAAATTGCTATCTTTGGTTGAAAAACAGATAACCAGGCATTTGGCTGGTGTGAATCAGCAATGTTGCAGGTAAAACAGTGAATTACAGTAGTTTGCAGTAGCTCACATCCTGATGCATAGTGTTTAATACCAGTTTTCCAGGCAGCATCAGATAGCATTTGAATCCGAAAGAGTTTTTTCTTGTAAATGTGGAAATGAGATTATGTGTATATATTTAGAGGGCTTAACTTTGCCATTTAAAATTCAGAGGCTTTGGTGGAGGTTTCTGTCCACCTAAGAATAAATTACTCTGGGGTGGTAAGTATTTTATGTAAGTCCAATTGAGTTTTAGTCAACTAGCCCCATGAGAGACACATGGGGACAGCTGTCTTCCTTTAATTATATTATATTGTAAGTGTGGATGCATAATTATAGACAGTTGTAGCATATCTAAGCATATTTATATGTCAGCCTGTGCCTTTTGTCACCACTGCTTTCCTTCTGCTTCTTGCTTCTAAGAGGGTAAAATTAATTGCTTAATTTTTAAGCAACAAAACAATAAATATTTGATTTCTGTACCTTTAGCATTTGCTTTTAAATTGCTAGGAATTAAATATACTAAATTATGAAATAGCATTTTATACAACAATTTGTTGAAATACTGTCTTTTTCTTTTGCCTACATTTTAGTGAGATAAGAAAAAATTCAGAACTCTCTATTCTTAAATAAAAACGTGTCCCAGTACATTTGTCCCTTTTATGAAAGGTTGTAGTGGCATGGAGTACCCTGAATGATACACAGAAACATGCATTTTTATGGATCCTATCATGTTACTTTTGAGGTGTAGCACTGTAATTTCCTAAACCATTACAAGAACAGTTAGAACTGTATACTCTACTAAAAGAAGCATAATCTGAGAAGTTCCTTCAAGAAAAAAACAAGAGAGAAGACACATACTTCCCTTTTATTGTCAAACTTGCAAAAATCTTTGTTGTTTTTTTTTTCTTTCTAAACAGACTATTAACTTGTTTAAACGAAGGATGAGGGGAGGCTTTCTTGAGCCTCCATTCATCTTGCAAGGTCATTCCACTCAAGCCACAGGACAGATACTGCCTGAATGGAGAAAGTAAATTAATATTATATATGATAAAAGTAACAGGGGGAGGGGGAAGGAAGAATGCATACATACACACACAAATTTGAATCACAGCATTATAGATTAATGAAGACTTTTTCTGTGAATTCATATTTGTATTAGGTGCCCCCAGTGACCAAAGCAGTGGCACATCCTCTCCCCTTTGTGACAGTGGTTTGCATCTCAACTACCACCCCAACAACACGGTAAGAACTTACATTTCCTTGATGGAATTACATGGAAGAATAATTATGCTATAATAGCTAAGTGAAAGTCCTAATAAAGCACAGCAACATGGGAGGAGCTCTAATTAACATTGGAGATAGACAGTTCCATAGAGGGGAAGAAAGAGGTGCCATATATTATGGATGGAAATTAAACTATGGCAAATTATTACAGCTGAGATTGTGCCTTGATAGATGTGATTGCTATTATTACCTGGACAGTAGGGATTTTGCAGAAGTTTTTTTTTTTTTTTCTAGTTTATTTCCACTGCATAGGAATTAAAATTCTTAAAATGAAAATATATCTATTTATAGGAAAAGAAAACTTTTTCATAATATTTTTTCATTACCTATATTGCATGTGTTACCTAAAGCTTTTGGCAAAAGATGATTTAGATGCATGTCTTTTGTGTATTTTTAAGGTGAGAGTGTTTTGCTTGTAGTAATTTACACTTAAAATCTTACTGAAGAGTGATGGCATTATGGAGCAGAATGTCTCTAGGATAAAATGCTGATCAGATGCCTTTGAAGTGCAACAAGGGCCTTAACAATTTCCTTAGGCAGAAAATGCAAAATTTCCATTATTTTATATAGTTCTAAAAGGGGTTTTGGTGAGTATTTGGCTTTATGATAGGTGAAAATATGAAAAGCACTGAATAAATAAACCAGTATAAAGCATAATTATCAAAAACATTAAAAAGCTGACTTGACTTTGCCATTTCTAATTTCTGACTTGTTTTACTTTACTTTCATATTTTGCTATTAAAGTATTTAAATAGCAGCCCAGAGATTTGAATGTCAATGCCACAAATTTAAACCTGATTATAATCTGGGAAACCTTTAGGAATTATATAGGCTTTAGGAGCTGTAATTTATAAAAAATGGGATAGCACCAATAAAATTGATATCAAAAACAATACAAATATATGCAACTAGTGCAACAACAACAAAAAAAAGACTTGTCTCAACAGCCTATATATGTATGTATGTAAAAAAGACTATGGCAGCAGATCCTAAACTTATTTATTCTGCTAGCCACTTCAGTTCTAACTTTGCTTTTATGGTAAAGCACATGCTTTCTTTTGTGAATTCTATTACTCCAGGTGTCAAAACTGATCTGGATTAGCTACAGTGTCAATTGAACTCATAATAATTTACTGAAACCAAGTGTTTTTCTTCAGTTTAAATATTTTAATCAGATATCATGAGTCTCTAATTCAACCTAAATTAAATTCTTCTGCTGAAGACCAGGATGTGGTTCTTTATCTCAGACATCCCCTTATCATAGTAACACAATGCTTTGTAAAACCAAATGAGATCTCTGTATGAAATCTTAAATTATGTACAGCTTTTATACCATAGTTCTTCCTTTTTCTCAGAATATTCTCTAGAATCCATTATGACATACAGTCATAGTCTATTTCTTAGTTTATAGTCTTGGTGATTCCATGAAAGAGAATTTTGACTCAGAATTTGGAGTAGACAAGACTGGGTTTAGTCTTTTGTCAACAGTTCAAAGAGTTATGCAGGCTAAAGGTGGGGTTAACATTTCTGTTGCAGGCATGTCTAGGCCTACAGTTTGTATCTGAACATTTCCTGCATTTCAGCTTTTTCCCCTAAGTTTAATCACAGGTGAAGAAAGGTTCCCGAAAGCAGACAGAAAACATTAAAATTTCAAATCATTTTTCAAAACAGCATCTAGCTTAGACTTCTAGCCAATTTATTTATTTTTATTGAAACTATGGAATGGTTCACCAGAGAGTCAATGTTCTAATAAGCAAACTACTTATGAAGAGCCTGCTGTTCAGCTAACATGATATTCATTGTGATATTTTCTTTCATTTACGTAAAATATATATGAACATATAAGTAAAAGTAGAGTTCAAATTGGCAAAGCTTTATAATTCCATAGATCTTAAACAAAAATCACACTCTAGAACACCAGCAGTTGTACTTAATATTTGTATTATTTATTTTATAGAAGATACCAATAGAAAAAAAATGCAAAGTTGAGATTTAAAAAATTGCAAATTATGCAGGATCAGCAGGTACAATTTTACTGACATACTGATATACTGTCACTCTGGAAGAAGACCAGCCTTCATACATACTGATATACTGTCACTCTGGAAGGAGACCAGCCTTCATCTCTTTACAACCTCCTTTCAGGTACTTGTAGAGAGCAGTAAGGTCTCCCTTTAGCCTTCTTTTCTCTGGGCTAAGCAACCCCAGCTCCCTCAGCCACTCCTTATAACACTTGTGCTCCAGACCTTTCGGTAGCTCCCTTGCCCTTCTCTGGACACACTCCCACACTAAAATGTCTTTTCTTGTAGCGAAGGACCAAAAACTGAACAAGGATTCAAAGTGTGGCCTCACCAGTGCTGAGTACAGGGGGACAATCACTGCCCTAGTCCTGCTGGCCACACTACTTCTGACACAAGCCAGGATGCCATTGGCCTCCTTGGCCACCTGGGCACACTGCTGGCTTATGTTCAGCTGGCTTTCAACCAATACCCCCTGTTCCTTTTCTGATGGGCAGGTTTCCAGCCCTTCTTTCCCAAGACTCTAGCACTGCATGGGGTTGTTGCGACTCAAGTGCAGGACCCAGCACTTCACCTTGCTGAACCTCATATAAGTGGCCTCAGCCCATTGATCCAGCCTGACCACATCCCTTGCAGAGCCTTCCTGCCCTCTAACAAATCAACATTCCCACTCAACTTGCTGTCATCTGCAAACTGACTGAAGGTACATTTGATCCCCTTCTCTGTATCATTGGTAAAGATATTAAACAGAACTGGCCCTGATACTGAGCCGTGGGGTGTGCCACACATGACTGGTTGCCAACTGGATTTATCTCCATTTACCATCACTCTGGGCCCAGCCATCCAGCTAGTTTATTACCCAGAGAACACTGCACCCATCCAAGCCATGAACCTTCAGTTTTCCCAGCAGAATTCTGTGTGAGACAGTGCCAAAGGCTTTACTAAAGTCCAGGTAGGCAACATCCATAGCCTTTCCTTCATCCACTAGGCAGGTCACCTGGTCATAAAAGATCAGGTCAAGGAGGACCTGACTTACACAAACCCATGCTGGCTGGGCCTGATCCCCTGGTTGTCCTGTACATGCTGCATGATAGCACCCAAGATAATCTGCTCCATTACCTTCCCTGGCACTGAGATCAGGCTGATAGGCTGTAGCTCCCCAGATCCTCCCTCTGGCCCTTCCCGTAGATGGGCGTCACATTTGCCAACTTCCAGCCAACTGAGGCCTCTCTGGTTAGCCGGGACTGCTGGTAAAGGATGGAAAATGACTCACTGAGCACTTGTGCCAAGTCTCTCAGTACCTTCAGGTGGATCCCATCTGGCCCCATAGACTTATGTGTGTCTCAGTGCTGCAGCAGGTCACTGACCATTTCCCCTTGGATTATGGTAGCTTCACTCTGCCCCCCATCCCTGTCTCCCAGCTCAGGGGTTTGGTACCAAATGAGCGACTGGTCTTAGGTGTTAAGTACCTCAGCCTTTTCCTCATCCTCTGTCACTATAAGAAGACACTTTTTCAGAAAAATAGCGTAATCACTAGCACTATTTTGCAAAGCATTTTATAAAGAAAGGCTTCTTGGATTTATAAAAATAGATGTTGATAATTTCACTTTTTATAAGCATTTCTCATGCAAATTTATATTCTGTAAAATACTGGTGAAATTAGACTGTAGATATTTAAATACTCATTCTTTGTAGATATGATCATAGACATGATAAAGTTCAGTTTTCATATAAGCAATGTCTTGTGTAAATAGGTGAAATTAAAATATTCATGTAGTTTAAACATGTAGTTTTGACAAAACAATTTTTATCACATGTTAAATCCTACTCACAATTGCCAAGTTTTGAGGTGATATCATAAGAACAGAAAAGTATGTAAACATGTACAAGGCCACAGAAAACAACTGAATTATGCTTGTATAGTGAATAATTTTGAGATCCCCTTTATTCAGGGTACAGGTATAAAACTACTAGCCGATGATGTGTTACTTAGTAAATACGAGCTTTTTTCATAACTAGTTATTTCATAAAAAGGATACAGTCTGTTTTCTTTCAGTTTTTAGAATAACATTCCTCACGTTTCCTCTAAGCATAGTGATGTTGAGGTTTATATAGATTTATTTTTGAGAAAAGGTTCAGAGTCTCTCCAGTGCTCACTAAAACTGATGCCAGATGATTTGGGGAAAGTGGAACACTGCCAAATGATATACAGTCTTTGAAGTATATCTCATTCTTTCCAAATCTGCTGAGTACTTGTAATGAAGTCCAGAACTAAGAATGACCTTTTAATATTTTTCAGGATACATTATCATGTTCCTCATGGCCAGCATCCCCAGGACTTAGGTGGGAAAAAAGGTGGTGTGATCTTCGATTAATTCCACTTCTTCATTCACGATTTTCCCAGTACCTTCCAGGATCAGATTTGTGCAGGTAAAGAAGTTCACAAGGTTGTCTTAGTTGACAGATACATGCCTTAGGGAGTTGCCTTGTTAGAGAAATGATATTATTAGTTCCACTGCAGCTGTCAGAAACATGAAATGTAGGAGCTCTCATAAAGGTCTGTCTAGGTCCACCTTGTTTCATATTGTGGTTTAACATCAGCAGAGACCAGATGCATGGGGAGATGTGTGATCTTCCTACTTGTACCTAATGGTCAGCACCTTTTGTAGTTTGAGATTGCCCATAGGTCATCATATTTAATACCTACTAATGTTCCTGTTCTCAAAAGCATCTTTCTAAACTGCTTTTAAATATGATTGATTTTTGCAATGCATTATAGCATTGAGCTCTGCAATGTAATTATATTTTAACATGTACTTCCTTCTGTTTGAGTTAAATATCTTGTCTGATAGCTACATTGGGTGAACTGATCTTGTTTGGGAGCAGCAACGGCTGGCTGCCCCATGGAAAAAAGATGAGCCAAGAGGGAGGGTGGTAGTGAGGCTGGACAAGGCATTGTCCATGCAGACAAGGACCCCATCCTACTGCCCCCAGTGGAGCAGCAAACAGGCTTAGGAATGGTCCATCATGGTCAGGTGGGGCTCAGGGCAGGCTGGGAAGTCAGCCTACAGGTCACATCCAAATCAGAGGGATACATGTCCAGGCACAGGTGTAGATTCACCTATACTGAGGTGACGACCAAGGGCAAGAGCAGCTCCCAAGTGAGGGGTGGACAGGCCTCCCACTCAAACTCTTCCACAGTGGCTTGATCCCACATCCCACAACCTTGCCATAGCATAGCTGGCCTCAAGCACAGGCTACCAGTCCAACACAAGGGACAAGAGGGTGGCAAGACTGTGGGTCCTGACCCTTGTATCAAAGGAAATGCTAAATATCTTGATTTACATTTTTATAACTTCAGATGACTGTCTTCTGTTTTCCAATTTGAACAGTCATTATCTCCTTTTTGGGAAGTGTTTCCATAGCTCTAACTATCCCTGTTATTCTCTCTGTTTCTTTCACAACTCTAATGTATCAGCTGTATGACAAGGTGATCAGGACTGGAAGGAGGATCCCTCATTATTTATATTAAGGCATAATGACATTTTCCTTTTTTTTTCTGTTCTTAGCTAATACTTTGTGACTGTCACTAAAACTAAGGTGGTAGTTTTTAGATAAATGTTTATAGTAACCCATGTACTTTTTTCCTTCATATTTACAGACACAGTAGGAGGTTTTATTGTTTCCATATAGCTAAGGTTATTTTTTCCCATGTGTGTTACTTTGCATGTGTTGACATTGAAATTCATTGCCATTTTGTCTCACAGTCACTGGGAAAGCTGTCCAAAGCTCATAGGGAGATTTAAATTTATGACACCATTGTGGTGGATTGACCTTGGCTAGATGCTAAGTGTCAACCAAGCTGCTCTCTCACTCCCATCCTCAGCGGGATTTGGTGGGGGAGAAAATAAGATGGAAAAAAAATATGAGTTAAGATAAAGACAGTTTAATAAAGCAAAAGCAAAGAAGATTTATTCTCTAATTCCCATCAGCAGATGATGTTCAGCCACTTCCTGGGAAGTAGGGCTTTGGAACCTGTTGTGGTTCCTCTGGAGATGTGTCATAATTAATGAATGACTTCCCTCCTCTTCCTTTCTCCAAGCTTTCATTGTTGAACAGACATCGTATGGTATGGAATATCCCTTTGGTCAGTTTGGGTCAGCTGTCCTGGCTATGTCCCCTCCCAAGATATTGTGCCCCCAGCCTACTGATGAGGAGGGAGTGTTGGAGAGACAGCACTGATGCTGTGAGAACACTGTTCAGCAAACACTGGTGTATCATCAACACCTTTCTGTCTGCCAGTACAGAGCACAGCACTATGAGGTCTGCTGTGGGGGAAATTAAATTCATCTGAGCCAGATCCAGTACAGTCATATATATGCCTACAACTTTGCATTGTTTAATATTATCATAGTAAATAAGAAGAAATTTAGAAGGAAGACAACAATATTCTGGAATTACTGTTTTTTGAGTAGTATGCAGTGAAATAGTTATGAAAGTAGCTGCAAAATCCAGTAAGGCAAGTATATAAGCAAGATCATCTCTGTTAAAAATTTTAGATACCTAGGTATTGTACAGTTTCATTTGTCATCTGCATGTATAAGAATTAATTTCTTATAGTGAACTATTCTGTGAGCTCCAGCATGTAAAATCATTAACTGGAGGACAGCTGTGTACAGGTATAGAGCACATTTGTCCATTACCTCTTCTTCTAACCAATTGGAAATATTAACTCTTAAAATTAACACAAAGCACTTATCATTTGTGATTCTGTGAGGCCTTACTAATTGTAATAAACTCTGGCTTTCCCATGTAGCCTTCATGCCTGCCATCTTAGATATGAGAGCCTGGGAGGAATAGTGTGTTATACTATGTCCTGTTGGCTCATCAGGCATTAGCAGTTGCACATTTCCTGTTCATCCATTCAAACACATGTAAAATTTCAAAATTAATGCAGAAAAGCTTCATTAATTTTTATGGAAATACTATTTTGTGAAAGAACCATCTTTTCTCTGCTGTTATGCTCACCCAGTGTTTCTATGAGTCCTATAGTCAACTGTTACCATCTACACCCAGAAGTGGGTTTATGAACCCCCCCAGAAACTGAGGGAAGAGAAGTCTTCTTCAAGCTCTGTTTGGGATTTCTGTGGGGTTAATTTTATTGTTTCTTATTGCAGCCTACTTCCTTCTCATTGGTACATGCTAAACATTTGAAAGTTGCACCAAAGCCTCCTACCACATCAGTTGGTTATAAGAGCTGTTCTGTCTTAGAATTACACTGCCTAGGTCTGTCAGACTTTTTTTTTTTACTCACAGAGCTGAAATTGAAGCGGGTTAGACAGTAGTTGTTTCACCAGTAGATCATTGTGAAGCTAAAACCAGCCTGCAGCTTTTAACTGGTAATAACAGAATCATATTTACTTGGCTACATGATCCTTATTCTATTGAGGAACAATGACTGACCCAGGGAGTCAAGGTATAAACCAAAGGCTACAATGGTTTATTGGCTGAACTGAAAGGGAACAGGATATAGTTGCCACAGAGGCAGGAGGTTTTTTGTTCAAGTCAGTGAAAGCCTTCAGCTCAATGTTTAACAATGAAGCATAAAAGGCCCGAAATCATAACAGTCAAATCTGAGATCTATTCTACTGTATACTTCAGATAAGGTATTGAATTGAACTACTCACGTGGAAAATTAGCACATATTCAACTGTTCATAGATCTAGGGTTTTAAAATTCAGTCTTCTGTATCAATAAAACACAAGCTTAAAGTGCACATTATAGAATTACAGAGATAGTTTCTTAGGTAGTAATGATATTGCTGAGTTTCAAATTTATAGAAAATAAATTTAAAAGTATATTAACACAAAAGAAAATATCTGAACTTATGTTCAGACCTTGAATAGCTACTGTGATATTTTTCACCTTCTGTCCTTCCATGTTGTCTAACATGAGGAAGTAGGAGTACTTAAAAGAAAAAGAAAAGCAGTATATGAGAGAGGAAGTGGGGCTTTCTTCCAAAAAGCATAGAACCAACATTTTATGATGCTAGCAAGACAGTTTATAAGATGGATTTAAATTACTGCAAACATAGTAAAATGTGACTCCCTCCCAGAATTTGTTATGAAATGTAGATACTTTTGAGAGACTGTTAAAAATAGCAACATTAAAGAAAGAATATTGAAAGTAATATAAGAAAGCAAAGTGAAATGGAAGCTAATTCATTACTTTTTCTGTAGTTAATATTCTCACTATGTAAAGCCCAATAACATTTTGTATTTCAGAGTTCGAAAAGGCTGATATGGAAATACATCATATCATTATCACATACAATATTAAGCCTAATAATCATGTTGTAGCTTTTCTAGTGGGATGCTTGAGACACATGAATTCCGGCGGGTATTCGTACAAAATTCTTGAAGGCATGCAGGTTAATCCTTGAAAGCTTCTTATCTTCAAATATAACTTTTGAGTTCCAGAAAGCACAGAACCTGAAATGTACAGTTGAGTAAATATTCATCTGAGCTTAACTTTTTTTGGTGTATTATAAAGTGATTAATCTACTCTTTGTTCCATTTAATACAAAACATGTATTTAATACACTATGTTTTCAGGTTTGCATGGTATAATGGACTTGGGCTGGTAGACTCATTCAAGGAAATACTGTTACAATAATCTATGGCTAAGGATATCTACTGGTCAGACACATTCAGAAGTGATTTATTAGGTAACCGTATATCTTCTGGTCTGTGCTTATTGATACTTGGGTACGAACATTATGGATGGATGGTTTTGCATCTGCACAGATCAAATTCTTAGGAACAGTAGGAATGGTCTGATGCTCCAAATGCATCAGATTCACTGACTTTGTAGTGTAAGGAACATTTTTGGATGGAATCTGGAATATACTGGGTTTTCCTTGCTTGTGTTCATGTCACACATTAATACAGGCCTTGGATTACTGCTTTAACTTGCAATAAACTGAGTAGAAACAGGGAAGCCCTGAAGCTAATGCTATTTTTCTTGAAAGAGATAATCAACAATTTTGATCATCATTCTATGCACTTCATGTAAGCATTTAGAAATATATTCTGGAAAATTTGAATTTTTATATTTTTAGCCATTTAAAATAAAGGATGTAATAAATAACTGCTAGCAACATTACCTGAAGATTCTTCAAATAAATTTTCCTCAAAACTTTATCTGAATTATTGTGAAAATGAGCCACTGAAAGAAGTCTGTCTTAGTTTGTATCTTCAGGAATTTAAAGAAAAATCACTACTTGTGTGAAAAGACAACTAAACTGATAAGTTATCTGATGGATTTAGATAAATCATGGATCCCTGCATGATTGTGTCAGGATATATAAGCCTTATCCCCCTGTAAAAGCTGCTTTTCATGATGGGTCGCTCAAAGCAAAGGCATGGATCTAGTTCATTTTTATTGCTTTTTCCTGATGGAAGAATAAACCTGTACTTGACTCAGATGCAGCAAAAACCTTTATGGTTAGGCTTACATTCTATGCAACTAGAATAAAATTCTTATTCTTTCTGATGGAAGAATAAGCCTGTACTTGACTCAGATGTAGCAAAACCCTTTGTGTTAGGCTTACATTCTATGCAACTAGAATAAAATTTCAAGAGGTAAAAGAACTGCAAACAAACAACTTTGCAAAACTGGTATCTGTCTTGAGATGTCAGAAACTGTCATTAGGGACACTCAGTTTTACACTGAGTACAACACTTACTGTGTTTGAGCCATTCTCAAAGAATTGGAATGATGTACATCCATGAGTTGATCATTAACAGTTGGGTTTGTAGCAGAATGTCAGCAGTGGAACTTGGTATTCTCTGTATGTTTAGTAATTTCTTACTCTGGAATATGGATTAATATTGAAGGGTTTTGGTTCTGAAGCCATAGACCTCTTACACTGAGTACAACACTTACTGTGTTTGAGCCATTCTCAAAGAATTGGAATGATGTACATCCATGAGTTGATCATTAACAGTTGGGTTTGTAGCAGAATGTCAGCAGTGGAACTTGGTATTCTCTGTATGTTTAGTAATTTCTTACTCTGGAATATGGATTAATATTGAAGGGTTTTGGTTCTGAAGCCATAGACCTCTGAGCAAGGCTTACTCTGGAATATGGATTAATATTGAGGGGTTTTGGTTCTGAAGCCAGAGACCTGTGAGCCTTCCAAGGGCTTTTAGCCAAGAAAGCTATTTACTGAAGAAATTACTGCTTTAGCATCTGAAAATTTTCTCTTGTTCTGTAATTGCTCAGTGCCTGACAGTGGAAGGTCAGTCTATAATGCATGACAGATTACTGTATACATGCCCAGATTGGTGCTGAGGTAGAGGCACCCAGGTGTACACTGCTTTTGTCATTTGATGTCTCTTGACATTCCAGTGTATTTTTGCAATTATCTTATATTCAAAAATGCAATTGGAAAATCATTAATGCTACCTGATCAATTTTGAGTTCTTCAACTTTTCAATCAGTAGTTTAGAAGAGGAACAAAATTCTGTAAGAAAAAGCAGCCAACGAGAGGTGTCCAGACAGTAACCTTACTATGTTTAAACAATGTATTAGAAAAATGAAACAAAGGTGTTTAGACAAAGGTACTGGTATTAACTGAATTTCACAAGTGATTGCCTACATTCTCCAATGTGCACTTTCCTTTTCTGTCATCTGCTGTATTAAAATGCTAAGCAATTGTTATGCATTAGCTATTTCACTTGTTTAACTTCTGAAGTCATGCAGTCTGTTGATCAAGGTTCTGTGGTACTAGTCTATGGAATTTTTATATAGCCTTATGGAAGCTTAATATAGTCTGAGCTGACCTTTTAGCATGATTGTTTTAATATGTCAGGTATTTATAAAACAGGAAAACCAGCGTTTTGTCAGTGTTCAGTGGCTGACCTTCATCGTAGTTGAAAGAAAAGCATTTCTACAAGTATTGTTAAGATGATATGCTGGAACAGATGAAATTTTCCTCTGACCTGATCTGTTATGATATGTCTATAGGCAAAATGCGTTCCAAGTAATTGCTGTGGATGGGGTTTGCAGTGGAATAATTCAGTGTCTCTCTGCTGAAGACTGTATTGACTGGCTACAAGCAATAGCAAGTAACATTTCCAACCTCACAAAGCACAATGTAAGTATGGATCCAAGTAAGCCAGAAGGTTTCCCAGTCATTTTTGATTATAACTGTCGTAAAAGCCTAATGGGTTCACACACAGAATTATCTGCATATAAACAATGCTTGAGGCTGTCTGAGAGAAGTCAACTCAAGTTTGTCATCAAATCAGACTTTGTGAGAAATCATTGAATGAGAAAATATTCTTCCCTACAGTTGTATAGTTCATGGCTATCAGATTTATATGCTTCTTAGCAATACCAACTAGGATTAGGAACATGCAGAAGGAAACCAGGTGTGATGGGTGAACACATATGAAAGAAAAAAATTATGTGCTTTCTTCATAGTTTGAGAAAGCACATCGATATAGAGACTGGTATAACCAGATCTGAATTAGACTTTAGGTCTGTTTAGGCATCATTTAACACAAGGAGAATGGCAAGGTGCTTCTGTGGTATACATACAGATGTTCATTATCAGCAATGATTAAATGCATCTATTCTTCATGCACTGTATTTTTATGACGTGATAAAAGTGGGACAGATATTTCTTTTTATTGAAGTAGGAATAAATGTTATACAAAGGTTTTGCCACACTGCTAGTAAGTTTGATTGAAAAGTCTTCTGGACCTGCCTGGGATGTATTTTGCGTTTGATAGAGCACATGTAGTCTTCCCTCTAGAAGTCTGTCTAGACTCTAGAAGTCTACGTTTCCTGGTTTTCCTCAGAAAATACAGAACACATGGGTAACTCCATTATTTTTAATTGAGTTATAACAAGGAAGCCCTTGAGAATTTAATTTATATTCTCTCATATTTCCTTAAGTCTGCTTTAGCTTCCCAAATCTGTCTCTGAATTTGCTTTTGTTTTAAATACAGGGAGCACATTGAAGGAAGTTGTATTTCTTGGAGATTTATAATCAAGATGCAAAACTATGTTCCATCTGGCAGCAATATGTAAAAGTCATTGTATTATAAAAATGTGACAGACATGAATTCATCCACCATCTGCAAGCTTCCATGCAGTACTGGCAAACTTTATGGCTATTTATTCATCCTTAAGATTCTATTGCTATATGGAACCTTTCTAGTCTCACTGTGCATCCTGACAATTGAAGCTGCTGGTTCTTTTCTCTTGCCATCTTTAGTTCAGTCTCTTAATGGTTCTTACCACCTGAATCAGTGTATTTATTTGCTTATAACAGTAGATGGAGGCAACTAAATTTTATCTGATAACATTTTATGTAGCTCTGATGAGACTATGATTATGGTTGCTTAGGGCAACTTGAATTTCGGTAAGGCACTGTTATTACATAATTTGTTTTCTGACTTTGATTCTACGCTGGATTCCATAAAAATACAGAAAGAATATCTAATGCTTTATGAGAGGAAAACAGTACATTATGCAACTACTATGCCAATCTTTGTACTTACTTGATACCAAAGACATCCTGTAAAGTAATTCTGAGAGTTAGGGCTTATGACAATTATCCATGAATGTATATTTAGAACTGCCCTACTTGTTCATAGCCCATATGAATTTATGGAAACCAATGAGACTCCCTTTCCTGTAATATACTTTTCTTTTAAATTGTCACTTGCCAGAAAGAATTAGTTATTTGACAGCATATGTGATAAGTGAATATAAGAAACATTAGGATCACGGAGGGGGCAAAAAACCCCACACTGTTGCTCAGAACAATGATTAGATGTGATTAGAAGTCCCTATGTTTCCTTTATTTGCAAGATGGTTATTGACATACGCATACTGTTGATGTTAGCATTTTTTCCTCCGAGAGGCATTTAGTCACAGTCATTCTCTCTTACTGTGGCATCCAGTGCCAAAGAAACCAAGAGAGTGAAAGCATTTATTTGAATTTTTGGGCAAAGTGACTGATTTTTGGTTTCAGTTAACTTATTTCTCTCTAGGAATTAAAGAAAATAATTTGTTTCGTATAAATACCATGTATCTCATAGAAATGCAACTTATATGCTCTTTAGCACATCCACCTTTTGAAAGAGAAGGAAGAAGATGCAAACAAGAGACTGTAACAACTAGATTGTTTCTGAAAGCATTTCCTTTGACAGTGTATCAAACTTTGGCTTTGTAGATTTTGGTGGGATTTCTCTTGCTTAACTTTATAGATGTCTTAAATCAGAGTGTCTGAAGAGTGATTCTTATGATTTACTTTTGACATCTATTTTATAATGAAATTAGTTCCCTCAGGACATGACTTTCTTTCCTTTGACTGGTAAGGGACCCTGGGGTGGTGAGTTCATACTTGATACCTAGGGAGATATACATATCCTGTCATTGTGTCTTGGAGGGACAAAAATGAGTTTCTCTGAATAAATCTGCCAAAGAAATGTCTGGATATTTTTGACAAAAAAGCGAACTAGTCTCAGTCAGAAATACTGAATTATTTTTGTTTTTCACCCACAAGCTGGCTTAAAAAAATTTAGTTGATGGTTCAAACCCCACGAATATGTGTAGGAATAGCATGGCCTATGTTCCGATATGTATCTTACAGTTGTGAAATATGGGTCCTTGGCTCTGTTTGAGCGTGTAGTTTGATGAAATATTTGTAAGGATAATTTCAAAAACTCTTCTGTCATGATCTAATATGTCCACATCTGGCACAAAGGTGGTATGACTCAATTGCAGGATCATCAGTGTAGCTTGTATCTACCAGAGAGCAAGAAGATAGCAAAAATTCAGGAGTAGAAGCAAACCCAAAATGCCTTGATATCATCATCTTTGAAAGTCAGTGTTGCTAACTGAACAGAGGCAGGAAGATGGTGTCTGCAAGCAGAAGCATTTTTCCTGCAGTGATCAGACTACCTATCATTATACAACATGAGATAAAGCTGGTATTATTATGCAACAAGATAGTTTCAGTCTTAATGCACAGATACAGAAAATTACGTTCTGACTATTAAGAATAGATTAAAATAAATCATTATGCTGACTAAGGTAGTCTACTTCAGATTTTCTTCAAAAGACAGCCTTCTGGTATGCCCTCTTTTTCTTTGTATTCAGGAAATGAGCACTAGGGTCCTCCACTGTTTTAAGAATACTGAGAGTAATACTGCTAATTTTAATTTCGTTTGCTCCCAAGAAACACTTTCTCATGAGATTAAATATATCCCTTTAAAATTAAAAAACATGAATTGACTTGTACATTGGTATGCAACCAAAATGTATACTATGTAAATGCTTATTGGAAGCAACTTAATATCACACTGTAATTGATAATGTGATGAAGCCATAAAAAACATTCATTTCTGAAGATGGGTTCCTCTCCCACTTGAGTCACTTGTGTTGCATCTGTATTTAAAATTCACCAGTTTTATCAATAGACTCAAAAACCAGAAGGGTTATTTTAAACCTGAAGTTTAGTCTAAGCAATCTTGATACTGAAGTTCATGTGCTGGAATCTGAATATGCTAAATTGAACCTGGGCTCGGGAACTCTTAATTCCTCTATGAATCTCTTTTACATCGTTTTGTTGCCAATTTGGATAGGAGGCCAAAGACAATTAAAAAGGGAACAAGCTGCTGCTTCTATCTTTTTTTGCTAATGCTCCAAGTAGGAATTTTCAGTTCAACTGTTCAGTTGAACTATTTGCCTTTCCATGAACTTTTAAACTATATTAATTTCTGTGGTAATTGATACTGATTTCTATTCTTTAACATCTGTTTTATTAAAGAATCATATGATGACAGTATCCAGTAAGTCACATAACTTTTAAAGAAATTACACTCTGGAAAAGTCTAAGAAAATACTCAAAAATCACATGCTCTACAAAAAACCACCAGTTCATGTATGTCCCTAATTTATGTGTTGCAATTTTAAAGGGACTCAAAGGCAAAATCTTTAATGACTTTAGTAGAGATGAGATTTTACCCAGTGTCTTTTTCAAACTTGACTCAATTGAAGATTATTTGGGTGCCACAATATTCTATTCCAGTGCTGCCAAAAGGGAAAAAAAAAGTCAGACATTTTAGTTCTTTGTAACAAAAGAATAATAAAAATCTATATTGGAGTTATCATCTTCTAGGATATAGTTTTATAGAATCTTTGGGGATTTATCCTCCCGGGTCAATATTTGCCACTCTCACCCATTGCTTTCTCTGGCAGGTTTTTCTGTAGTGAGGGCGATGATATTTCTTTTCCCATTCCTCTTCCATCATTTCTGTGGGAGACACTGCAACAGTTACACATTTGTGCCTTTTACCTTGAAGCTAGCACTTAACTGCAAAGAGACATGAGGAACTTCAACAGATAGGAATGACAGGCAGCTGAGGTAAAGTTGCTAAGCAGGAAGTGGCGGAAGTTACATGTTTTTCTTGAGAATGCCCATAAGATCTTGCAAGACTTAGTTCACAGTAACTTCACTTTATCCCGTAATGGTAGACAATTAATGAGGCACACATAGTTGGTGGTAGAAGCATAGTAACAGCATGAAGGCAGTAGGATTAAGAAGTCTATAAACTGAGTATTGGCCTTTGTTTTCAGCAAAGTTTAAAAGTTCAGTTGACTTTATGGCTTTAATCATATACATAAACTGTTATGCCTAAGGAAAGAAACTGCTACTAAGTGGACAAATATATCTGTCTTCACTTCCACTGGAGAAATGAAAACAATAATATTTTTCTTTACAATACTGAATTTTGGGTACAGAGGTTGTTTAAGCCACTAGGTAGAAGGAAAGACAAAGAGTACAAAACAGGGAAAAAACCCAATTAGAATAATGCAATCTGTTGCACTTGTAGGAGGAATAAAATATCACAGGACTACATTCAGGGTTAGTAAGTTACTGAAATATATAAGTAGTACATGTCTCATTTTTCTGGTGGATGCTACCAGTAAGAACAGACTGTGGAATGTTACATTGTGTGAACAAATCAGTGTCACTCACATGAAGTGAACAGATTTCAGGTTTTCATTTTTTAGTTAAAAAACAATGGCAAATCATCAGAATGCTCTAATGTTAATAATTTTTGAGTTTTCAGGGAT